TCTGGATAAGAAGCATATCCTGCACAAACGAGGCACAAATCAGAAGAAACACTGTTATGGCCAAAAATAGCCAGTTACAGCACAGTGCGGACCGAAGAGGGTGACGGCTGAAGAAGAGGAAAAGGGAAGTAGACGGGTTAAATTCCGGAGAGAAGTTAATTAGCTAGATCACTCAGAATGTTGCGAACTGCTTTGCAGCTCTTTCTTCTCTAAGTAGCCGAAGGAAGTAAATTCACGCTCCGTTCAGTACCAGTGTTTCAGGAAGTGAAACAGAATGTAGCGTCAGTTCACCTAGTGCGAGATAAGCTGCATCCAGATCTACTTATTCCAGACGTTTATGAAGAGAACGCTGCCGAGGTAGCAACTCTGATAAATTATGTTTTGCTTTAATAATTCATTTAGATCGAGATTATTCGCATCTTCACATGCGGAGAACACATGCATGCATTCGCATTTCTCAGTTTTTTTCAAGAATCCGGCACAAATCAATAGCGGTGCACGCCGGGGTAGTCAATGCTACCAGTTATTATTCATAATTCAGCCCAGCGGGCACTTGCTGTTAAGAATTTGGTATGCAAAAATAGTTGTAGTTGATATTTTGTCAGGTTCCTAAGCTGTGAAATTCCCATTGAGAATTTTCACGTAGCGGTACGTGAAACCTAAGCGTGCATAAGGCTAAATTTATAACTCTTGAATTTCATATGCATAGGGAGCATCTTTTCGGAATTTCAGTTAATTTTCTGGTTTCCAGTTAGCGACTTCCGCGCCAAAACCTTGACGTGGCGGTTCGTGAGGCCTAAGCATACATGAGAGCTAGATTTGAGTCCCTGGACGTACTGCATAGGTAAAAACATTCTTCTGAAATCTCAGCCTCTAAGCCCTTCTGGTTCTAGAGTCACCAAATTTTTCCACCAAAACTCTTACGGGGACGTACGTGGATCCGAGCCGTATATAAAAGCTGAGGTTTAATTTGGGAAATCAGGGAGTATCCCCGAAAGTTACAGCTTCTTAGCTTTACTGATTCTTGAGTTGAAAATGCGTTTTATATGCATGTATATGTATATGTATATACATGCATATAAAACGCATTTTCATCCCCGAAATGGGCGGTCTTACCCGCGTGGTGCCCGTGTAAGAACCCGCCAAAATTTTTTTTGGGTAAATTGATAACTCGCGAACCAGAAAAGCTAGAAAGCTAAAATTTTAAGGGAGTGTTCCCCGTCCAAATGGGTATTAGTGAGCTCAACCCGTGCACCCGGGTAATATGCGTTTTGGTACATCTGCTCAAACACAAAACGCATAAAAACAAATGGCTGGAGATAGCTTATAACGAAATGAAAAAATTTCAAAATTTTGAAACGAAGTTTTCAACTTACAGAAACCCGATGGCAGTAAGGAGGAAGGATTGTGCAGCGACGAGAGGCGCGGTCGTCGTAACTCAGGCGGTAAACTGAAATTTCAACCAGTGCTGGATCCTGTACTCGAATGTGTTGAGGCTGCGGCATGATGCTTCGTTTGAAGCTCCAAAACTTCTGTGCTTGTATAAATGATTCATTGTGAAACATATTTTTATTTAATTTCTCAGGGATGTGGTAAATTCCAAGGCCAGTTGTAAGCGCAGCATGCTTTAACCCAAATTGAGAAAAAAATGCGAGTTACATCGGTGTACATTGGCGAAATCATGACTGCTGAACTTGCAAAGCAAGTATATCAAAGCAGTGAAAATACTGTACGATGATGAAATAAGCTGAGGTAATCATATTTACGTCAGCAATTCAAACAAACATCTCACGCCGGAAGGAAAAGACCTTTCCCGTCACAACATTTTGTTATATTATCAAAATTAATTACTTTCACTTTTACATGATTCCAGACCTAGGACGGCCCTCCCTTTTGTTCGTGATGATATCACACCAATGATTATTTTTACTTGATTTGTGAAATACCAATATATCATTATGGCGACTCAGAATGACAGATCCCACCACAATAATCAAAAAAATCAAATCACTGCACAGAGATGCAGCTGCCCGTTTTTGTAAATCCTCAAATCGCAGGTCTCTGGTTTTTGACATCGACCTCCCTCCGTACGTATACTGTTCTGTGTGTGCCAACTCAGATTCAAACATGTATTTTTTGATGGCGAGATTCTGGACTGTTTCAGTTCAACTCCATGTGTATGCTGTGAAGTTTTGCGACCCCAAAAATGGGTCCAACAGCTGCATAATTTATGCGTTCACCAGTTATGCATACATGGTTTTGGCTTTAATCTGTATAAAGTTTGTTTGTGCTGCAGAGGATCCATTCCCACAAAACATTTGCTTTTCTTTCAGTAATATCCCTAATTTTTGGTCTCGTAGTTCTAGGATTCACTAAACGAAATGATATCGCCGATCAAAATCGAACTTTATTTACTCAACTACTACGTTGTTAACCGTTTTGCCGCTAAATTTAATGCCTTTAAAGTTAAATATTAGTTCGGAGTGCGCGTAACCCTCTCGTACCGTTTTTTTTTGGGTGGAAAACACACTCTTTAACTTTGGCACTGCTGTCCGAAAGTTTTGCAGATTTGCGTGTAGTCCATTC